GTCTGCCCCGGGAAGGCGGCTCATGGGCTCTCTGCTCCCGCCAGCTCTCCCTAGCTCCAAGAGGACACGGTAGATTGGYTATAGTTAATTAATCAGCCGATTAGCAGCGTCTTTACAAGCATTCAGGAGAAGGTGGGATGATGCACGTGGACACTGGTCCTCGGAGCTGGGCTGCTCACAATGTCCCGGGAGGAGGAGGYGGCCGGCGGAGCGGGAGCTTCCCCGCGGCACGCTCCAGCCGGGAAGAGTGCGCTCCGGCTGAGAAGGGTGCGCTCCAGCCGGGAAGGGATCCGTGCACGTTGCGCCGCTGGTGTGCTCCCAGGGATCCCTGCCTGGGGCTGGCGAGATGAATCCGTACGGATTCATCGCGGGGCAGTTTGGCGGTGCTGAGGGGGTTGGTGCTGGTCCAGACCGGCCATTGCTGTTGTGCGGACGCGTCTCGGCTTGGTGGCACCAACCGAGCGCCTCTGTTTCCCCAGCAAAGCTTGGGAGACGGTGCGGAGAGGGGCACCGGTCTCACCGTGAGCTTTGGGATCTTCAAGAATAACCAACTTGGACAGTAAACTGGGGATTAGCCCCCAGACAGGAACGGTCACTTTTAGCCGAGCTGCGGAGTTGCCGCTCGCGTCTCGCTCCAACAGGCGAGCGGAAGGATTGGGGTGGCACCCTGTAAGCAGGGAGCACCCGTGGTGGAGGCTGGAGCGGGCGGGAGCGGCGCTGCTGCTGCTGSCCACGGGGTTGCACAGATGCCCGCGTGGAACCCTGAGCACATATTCTGTATTCCCTATAAAAGCCCAAATGGAATAGGCATTGGTGAGCTGGGCTCTGGGCCGTGCCCTGCAGTGTTCCCTGTTCCGACCTCGGGATCGACAGCAGGGCCCTGAATGGGATGGAGCCGCCGTGGTTTCTCGGTGCCCCATAGCAGGGTCCTGCATGGTGCGATGTGGCTCTGGGCTCGGTTTGGCCGGGGCAGAGCTGGACTCTTCCTCTGGGCTGCAGGGGACGGCGAGCGCAGGGGC